TGAGTATCTCTTGGCAACTGATGGAGAGGGAGAGTCCATTTTCTTTACTGATGTGATACTTGGGAAACTGACCAGACTCTAGGGCACGAACCCATACCAAGGAGCATGTGGGAAACATGGAGTGGAATCCATAGGCTTTTATTTCTCTTTTCTTTAAAAAATTTATTTATTTTGTGTATATGAGTGTTTTGCCTGCTTGCATGTAGGTACACCATGTGTGTGCAATGCCTGTAGAGGCCAGAAGAGGGTGGCAGATCTCCTGGAACTGCAGTTATTGATGGTTGTTAGCTGCCATGTGGGTGCTGGGAATCAAACCCAAATCCTCTGCAAGAGAAGATAATGCTCTTAACCACTGAGCCATCTCTCCAGCCCCTCCATAGGTATCTAAAAACCAAAATTTTATAAACCAACAAATAAAAATTAAAAAAGGAAAAGGAAATGGGGGACATGAAATGGGGGGGATGTGGAGGTGGTGAGGGAGTGTAGGGTCTGAATGTGCTCAAAACACATTGTATGAAATTCTGGAATCAATAAAAGAAAAAAAAGAAAATGTGATATATATATATATAGTGGAATTTTTTGGAAAAGATTTTATTTATTTACTTATTTTTTTGGAGAAAGAAGATTTATTATGGCCAGACTACATTCTTTCCTAGAGGGTCCAAGTGCAGCCCTGAGCCTAAGCACTCTGGTCCTTTTATACTAAACTTGTTGCTGGGCAAACAAGCAGAATACAGAAGCCAATCATTGAGCTTAAGCTTAAGCAAACATTGTCAAGGAAATAGAGAAGAAAATACAATTTTCCACCCAAACCCTCAACCTGCACGGAACTAGCTTCTTCCTTTTTCATAAACTGACATTATCAATCCTACTGTTATTTTACATTGTCTTTACCAGTCACAAAGTTCCCTCTAGGGGGGTTTTGTTGTATAGCAATTGTATTTTAGGATTGAAAAGATTTTAAAACTTTATTATTGTGTGTGAGTGTGTCCCAGTGTGCATTCAGGAGGTCAGAGGACAACTTTCAGTTTCCACCCTGGTATCTAAGGATCGAACTCAGGCTGTCACGCTTGCATAGCAAGTGCTTTTACTTGCTGAGCCATCTCCTCGGACACACAATGCAATTTTATTCAGCTGTGAAGAAAAAAAAAATCATGGCTTTGTGGGAAAATAGGCGGAGCTGGAAATGATTATATTAAGCTGAGTAATCTAGATTCAGAAAGACAATTACTACATGTTTTCTCTCATATTCTAGATTTAGTTTTCATATATATGTGGATATAAGTCATAAAACTAGAAAGGGGACCATGAGAAGGAAAAAAAGTTCCTAAGGTGAGAGGAGAGGGCAGCAGAACACAATTGACACGAAAGCAGGTGGGACTCGTGAGAGGAAGAGGGCCCAGTGGGGTGGGGGCAGGAGGACCGAAGAGGGGAGGAGGGGGCAAGGGTCGGCAAAAGCAAAGTATGTATGAAAATGTCTTTATTATGATGAAATCCATTACTCTGATAATTAGAAATAATGAAGGAAATCCATTGGGCTGGGCTGGGCTGGTGCTTGGTTGGTAGAGTGCTTTTCCGAGCATGTTCAGAAAACCCTGGGTTCCATTTTCAGTCTATATGTACTGGCAGGCGTGTCTTTCACTTTGAATGCACCTTCACTCACAAATGATTCATAACTATGTACAATGGCTACATGGAAAAATTTGTTTGCAGATTTAAGCAGATCTTCCAAATTTTGATTTTTTTTTTCCATTATAAAATGGCCATGATTCATGGCCTTCTTTTCTAAGGCATAAGCTTCAGATGCCACAGTCTTATAATTTGATACTTAGAGGAAATTCTTGCATAGTACAGCAATATAAAATATAAAACATATAAGACTCCAGACATGGGGATAGACATGGTCATATGTGCCTGTAATCCCACCACTTAGGAGGCAGAGACAGGAGGAACATTTGAAGTCAGTCTGGCAACATAGAGATTGTCTTAAACAAGAACCAAAGAAAACTCATACTTTAAAAATATATACCTCTAGGCTTATCAGGAAAGTTTTGAGGTTCACGACAGAAAGCATTCTAATTGACAAGTTTTCTAAAAATTCTAGACTTCATTTGGAGGTTTGGGTTTTATCACTGCCCACAATGCTATCAGTTGGCATCCTTGGAATGATAGACTCATTTTATTCATTTTTGAGACAATGTCTGCCAAAGAGCTGGACCTAAGTTGTCAGTCATTCTTTGATGAAAAATGATGTTTCATGACAAAATGGCCATTGGGTTTGCAGCTCTAAGAATGGCTTGCTTGCTTTCCCTAGAGTCTACCCTGAGTCTTCATCAGGCAGTTGAAGAAGAATGGGATAACTCATAACCATTCTTCCCATTTCATCATGTGTCAGATTATCATGTCCTGTTCTCCAGAGTCAAGATTTAATGATCTCATGGCTATTGCCTGGGGATTCTAAAGTGAAGCTGGCTCTGTTTCAGGGGCTCCCTAGTGCATGGCTATGGAGACTACAATTGGCATAAGCAGGGCTTGCCTTGGTTCTTGCTGTCACCATGGCTTTTGCATCATTGGTACAAATGTCAAGACAGTGAAAAAGTGATAGCCCATCAGAGCATCATTATGGAATTAGCTCTCACTTTGAAGATACCCTGAAAGGGTGTCAGGGACGCCAGGCTTCCACAAACCATAACTTTAGAATGTCTGCTCTAGTGCATAGTAAAATCTAACCTGCTTCCAATAACCCTTGTTCAGATATCAACCAGGGTTGACTGCTTTTGCCTCTTACCAATGTTCCATGTTAAAGAGGCCATTACTCATGGCCATTTGAATCAAAATACTCAAGGAACTTCACTATAGGGCAATTTATAACTGAGCAATAATTAGGAAGAATGAAAGATCCTAAAGTTTCATTTTACCAAAATAATTTAATATTTGTGCTTTCTTGGTGTTAAGTCAATATCAAATAATAAAGTCTACAGCTCACAAGTTGTGGCAAAAGGAGGAGAGAGGGCTATTTCCTCCTTTTAAAATTATTTATTTTTGCTGGGTGTGATGACATATGCTTTTAACCCCAGAACTTGGGAGGTGGAGGCAGGTGGATCTCTGTGAGATGGACGCCAGCCTAGTCTACATAATGAGTTCCAGGCCAGCTGGGGCTACAGGGAGACCTTGTCTCAAAAAAGACCAAAAAATTTTATTTACTTTTATTTATGTGTGTGCCTGCTTGTCTGTATGTGCACCGCATTTGTGCAGTGCCTGCAGAGGTCAGAAGAGGGCATCAGATCCCCTGGAACTGATCATTTTCAAGTACCTTGTGGGTGCTGGGAACCAGACTCTGGTTCTCTGCAAGAGTAGCAAGTGCTGAGTCATCTCTCTGGTCCCTTTTCTCCCTTCTTATGAACATTCTGTGGCCTTATTATGCTAGACATTGTTATGCTTATTTTATATTTTGAAAACATGGTATTCAGTGGCTAATTCTCAGTGGCCAAGGTCACTCAGTGGCCAACTCTCATTGTGATTGAGAGGCTCTAAAGTTGGGAACATCTTTGCTCCACTATGCAGAAATTTCTCCTAAGTACCAAATTACATGGATATGACATCTGAAGCTCATAATTTGGAAAAGAAGTCCTTGGAATCACAGACACCAAAGCCAGATCTTTAAGGAATTTTATGTATATATTCTATCACAGGGATATGAATGACTCTCAGCTAATGGTAATTCAGAGTTGGAAGACCTTGACCATGTGATCTTTTATCTCTCATCACTACAACATGCTTGCATAGTTAATATCCGTGACACAGTGCTTTGTGGGCAATGACTTCTGAGAATCTGAATGTTGTTCATCCCCCCAAATCAAAATGCATCGCACTGTATTTGGCAGACAGCTGTCAGGTGGCCCTAATGATCTGTTTCCTGTCATTTACATCATTGTGCAGTCCCCTTTCCTCAAGTGTGAATGAGAGCTGTGACAAGCTTCTAACTAATTGATTCAGGAAAACGTGTGAGAATGTCACATCTGTGATTAAGTTCCTTACAGTTGTCTTCTGTCTTGCTAGCAGACTTTATTGCTAACTTGGTTTAAATGCCTTGATGATGCAAAGTGCTCTGTTGGAGAGTCCCACGTGACAGGACTCTGGGCAGCTTCTGGTGGGGGATGGAGCCTCTGACGGTGTGGGAAGATTGAGTCTGCCAGGAGAAGCTGATTGAACTAGGAGACAAATCTTTTGCCAGGTGAGCCTTCCGAGGAGACCTGGTGGGGCTGACAGCTTGATCACAGATTTACAAGACACCTTGAAAGTAGAGGACCCAGTTAGGCTGGGTGTGAGATAATAAAGATAGGTTGTTGTAAGCTGCTAAGTCTCCGGGTAATTTTATTGTACAGCTATAGACACTTGAATACATTATATTTGTCTCTTTCTCTGGCAGAAGAGAAGTGAGCTGTACAAAGTCTCTAGGCCCTTGTTCTGTGTGTTTACATATATTTATCCATCATTGGGAGTGTCTTTCAGGATCATCCCAGACCCTGGGGTACTAATTGTGCCTTGAAAGCACTGAGTCCTCCATTGATTCTTGGGATCCCAGTAGAAACTCCTCCACCTGAACATCATTGAGTTTATATACCAGAGGTGGCAAGCCAATCAATGAATTACTCTTTGGAGTCTGAAACTTTAGGCTGGTGCAGGGACGTGTTAATTCTCCCAAATGCTGTTCCACCTCAAAGAAGGGCATGCAAAAATCCAGTTCAGCAGAAGTGCATCATGCCTGCAAACGCTAGATGAGAAGCCCTTTTTTTGAGAGAAGAGAGAAATTACGGACGACATACCACAGCCCACTTCATCCTGGTTTCATTTTGCCCATGGTGTTAAAAAAAAAGAGGTTCTCAGAGTCTTTGATTTTTTTTTTTTTAATCCGACATAAAGCAGGTTACAACGAGCTGGCTCTCTGCCTGGTAAATCAACTAACGAGCGCAACAGAATACCTGTTTCCAGAGGGGGTTTGCAAAACTGAATGAAATTAAAACGCGCGAAATGCTGAGCGCACCGCCTTGCAGACGGGTGAGCGAGGCAGCTATGCCTTCGCCACAGGGTCTCAAGACCTGTGTGGCCTGGGACCCGGGGGCGGAGCGCAGCGGGGACCTAGCCGATTCTGCCCCGCCCACGCAGGGCCGAAGCCGGTCGAATGACTTGGTGCAACGTGGTGGTGGCGGCGGCGCGGGTTCTTCCGGGCTCCGGAGCTTCCTGCCAAGCACCGCGCAGCCGCCTCGGCCGCGGGAGCCCCCGGTGCAGGCCTCGCGGGTGCCGGCCTCCCTGCGCCGCCGCCCGCAAGGTGCGCGCTGTGCAGTGCGCATCATGAGCGTCCGGCAGATGCTGCTGCTGCTCGCGCTCCTGGCCTCGCCCGCCGCCCTCGCAAGTAGAGCTGTGTCCGCCCCAGCCTCCCAGCCCGAAGCGGAGCAGCGGCCGCTGTCCGGCTCCGGGCCTCCGAACGCCACCCAACTGGGAACTGGGGTGACCGGAGGGGGTAGCTCCAACAGCAGCGGCGACGCCTTGGTGACCCGCATCTCCACCCTGCTCCGCGACCTGCCCACGCTGAAGGCGGCGGTGATCGTGGCGTGTGCCTTCAGCGCACTGCTGGTCGCCTGCTTACTGCTGCGCGTCTTCAGGTGGGTCCCTCCGCTCTGCTCCTTCCGCAGCTGGCAGAGCTGGCGGCGTCGTCAACCTGCTGCCACCGCAGCCAACCCGCTGCCACCGCGCGCCCGCCCCACCTGTCTTCACAGGTGGTTGGGTTTTGAGCGCTGCGGTCAGCTGCTCGTCTTTCTGCCCTCCAGGGGAGGGGGCGCCTGGGAGCGTTGGCTACAGGTTTCTGTTTTTTTTCCCAGTGTACATTTTAGGAACCCTTTCCTCGTTTAAGGTTACCCGTGTGTTCTAAATCATAAATTCCATTGCTTTACTCGGATTATACTTAACACCAACGATAGCGCGCTCAATTATTTTTATACCCATATTATGGATGGGGAAAACATTCACGGAGAGGAGAGATAGCTTACTCAGCTACTGAACCATGGAGGGAGACTCTGAACTTGGGTTCCCCTAACTTTAACCTTGCTCTTCTCCCACTGCTGCCTGCAGCTCCCCCTGTCTTACTGGCTTACCCCCACTCCCGTTTTTAGTACAGAAAGCAAAAGGTCTCTCTCTCTCTCTCTCTCTCTCTCTCTCTCTCTCTCTCTCTCTCCTGAGCTTGGTAAGAGGCTTCAAGAAGTTCAAGAAGTTTGGTGACCCTTGATGGCCTGGGTGACTATCTATTACTGGACCTCCTCCTCCCAGATTTAGCTGTCCTAGTGCTCATTCACAGGGGCGTGAGGAATGCCAAGAGGATTTGTCGGTTGCTCAAGGTCAAGGAGAAAGTGTGCAGGAAATTAAGAAGGTCCCCAGGGTAGTGAAGTGAACAGGCCCACAGGGGAGACCAGCTGGACATTTCTGTGGAATGCCAGGGAAATCCTGGTTTGTGGAGAAAAGCTAGATATGTCCTGTTACTCAGGCAGGCCAACCTGGAAGTAAGTGTGTGTGTGTGTGTGTGTGTGTGTGTGTGTGTGTGTGTATTCACCATCTGTCCCATATTGTGCTTTGATGTTTGATAACTACTGAAGGTAAGCCAGGTGCTTGTTCCTCTGAGGAGCATCTGCAGTGCAGGAGCAGAAGTTAGACCCAGGAAGTGTCTAATGTGCTGAGGTTTGCTTAGTTCTGTGTGTTTCCTTCTGGATCTCTATGATGAAATGCCAGGTGTCTGAGAAGAGAGAAAAGGGACTGTGGTTCTGTGTTCACACCACCCCCTGCCTTCTGTTACCTAAATCTTCCCATTGACATGGTTGATAAACTTCGTTGGCTCCACATAGCTACAGTCAAGCATGGGACTACTTATGGGTGGCATTTGGGGCCCTTGCACACTGGCCCCAGCTCACCCTGCAACCATCAACCCACCTTTCTCAGCCTTGTCTCTCATCTCTTGAGCTCCTCCTTAGACCATATGGTCCTGGCCCGTAATTTCCCACCTCTGGTCCAATTCCCACTCTACATCTTTCAGGATTGCATGCTGGTCACTGAGTTTTCCTGGACAGCTATTGAATGGGGCCATTGCTTTCTTTCCTGACCTCCCCAGCCCTCACTTGTTCATCCTTCAGTATACCTATTATCCCTCATATTGCCCAGTTCTCACACTCAGGAAAGAGCCCTAGAGGGTGAGATGCCCAGTTCATCCTAGTATCTCTGTCCTAGATGAGGTCTGGCATTCAGCAGAAGCACTGCTGTCATTTACTGACCTCATTGTTCACTCAGAGTCAGCTAGTGCCTAGGGTAGCTCTGAGTCTGGAGGTTTGAAGCCTTTAGCTCAAAATAGTCTGAGCCCACAAGGCTCTGTACTTTTAAAAGAAGGCATTTGAACTATTTTGCCAGTCTGTTCTTTATTACCCAAGAGTGGGGAGAAGACAAGGCAGCATGTGGCCAGATGTGAGGGAACAGGGCTGTATATTTGAGTGGGAGATGTGGCACTCAGGTCTGGGAGGGAGGGCCCTTGACTTGGGTGTGGTGTGTAGAAGGAAGGCAACCACTTCACAGGAGAACCTGTTTCTGGGCATGCTCTGTCTCTTCCTGGGAAGGCCTGCTTGTTAGGTGAGTCTCCAGGTGGACAGCAGCCAATCTGGATTCTGATTTAGATAGGAATTCACAGCATAGCATAGCAACAGGAAAGGGCCATGGTGGTACCCGGTACCCTAGTGTTCCTTTGCAGATGAGAAAGTTGCATCTCAGAGTGTGGAGTAAGTACCACCCAAGGCAGAGGCTGTACCTTGACCCTGCCATTTGATGGTCTGTGCTGTGGCTGTTGTCCTAGCTGTGTTCCCTGTGGGCTTGTTTAACCAGGTTGCCAGGGCGTCTCAGCCGCTGGCTAGGCATCCTTTAGGCCGTCCAATCACCTCGAGCTCCTGAGACCGTCTCACCTCACACCACCTTCTTCCAGTGAAGTGGTCCCTCTGCCACCACTTCTGCCTGGTTTGCATCCCTCCCTCATCTCGTCTAGATCACAGTGATGCTCTTTAGGCTGGGGTTCCTGCCTCACCTAGCTCCTCTGCACTCCGTTCTCCCTCTTCTCATGGAATGATGGTTTCATTCTTCTTCTACCCTCTCTGCCCCTACATCAAATTCCTGGACCTGTGGGCAAGGCTGGCTCTTCATGACCGGAATGCTGACTTTCTGAGCATCTATCAATCTCTGCCTAGTACCCCTCTGCTCTTAGCTCTACTGGACTCCAGGGTTCACCAGAGGCGTTATGGGGTCTTTATTTATTGGATCAACATTTCTAATCCTGTAAAGCCTCAATTTCTTCTATGCTCTCCAATCTGGTAGCTTCTATAAGAACTGGAAATATGACTTCGAACTGAGAGGTATTGTAACCATAAACTACATCAAGATATTTTACTTATTATTTTTTTTACTAAATCTTTGAAATCGCATATAAATTTTTTCAAATTATAATATGTTGATACATTAAACTAAATATATTATTAAAATTAGGGCT